GCCACTGCACTCCAGTCTGGGCGACCGAGTGAGACTCCAACTCAAAAAAAAAAAAAGTAAGGGGAGGTCTAGACTCTTGCTACTCAAATTGTGATCTCCAGACTAGCTACATTGATATCACTTGAGAGCATGAAAGAAACACAGAATCTCAGGCCACACCCAACCTATTTTGTCAGAACTTGCATTTTGGCGAAAATGCCCCTAGCCCAATCCCATCAACCAGTTTGCATATACAATTTAAGTAAGTAGTATCCTAGATCATCATTAATATCTCTCTGGGCCCTGTACGGTGGCTCAAGCCTATAATCCCAGCACTTTGGGAGGCCGAGGCAAGAGGATTGCCTGAGCCCAGGGGTTCGAGACCAACCTGGGCAACTTGGTGAGACCTCATCTCTACAATATATCAAAAAATTGGCTGGGCATGGTAGCACATTCCTGTAGTTCTGACTACTTGAAAGGCTGAGGCAGAAGGATCGCCTGAGCCCAGCAGGTTGATGCTAGGGTAATCGTGAGCATCCCACTGCACTCCAACCTGGGTGACAGAGTGAGACTCTGACTCCAAAAAAAACAAAAAACAAACAAACAAAAAAAACCTCTCTGAATCCTATAAAGTCTATGATCGTATAAAAAAAATACATAGCCTTCAAAAATTGCTTGCTATCTGACCACATTAAACTTAAATTATTATCTGTGGAATTACTCTGTATAGAAGTTAGCCTTTTAGTGGGTTAAAAAGTTTGGCAGATGTCATCTTGCCAAGTGGAGAGATACAACCCTGGAGCTGGAGGCTAAGGAGGGAGACTAAGCTGACTTGGAGTGAGGGGTGGGAAAGGCTCAGGAAAAGCTTCCCTCTCTACTCAGAGAGCTCAAGATGTGGAAAGAAGAGAGGTCACTGGAAAGAATTAAATCTAGAAATCAAAGTTCCCTACAGAGAGAAGGGAACAGGGTTCCTTTTCCAGATGTGCTGTTCTATTTGTGGTCCAGGGACCTGTGGGTGGCTGGCATTACATCACCCGCTCCCTCCAGCACATTTCAAATCATATGTTCTGACTTCCAAATGCAGATGGGAACTTGGGCGAGGCCAGCTGTCTGTTGAGAGACAGCATATTCCACCTACACCTCTCTATGCTAAAGAGTGGCAGGCACCCAGAGGAAGTAGGAGATGCCTACATCTTCTTGGGAGCAAGACCAGGTTGTGGTCCATACAAAAGCTTTCAAGAAGGGAAGGAGAGGAATCCTGAAAGTCGTTAATATACAACCCCGGAATTGTATCATTAAGATCTGGGTTGATTCTCTCAACCACACCATGGTGGGAGTGGCAATGAACAAAACTCTGACTAGGGAACATAATGACAAAGTAAACAGGTTCTCTTTCCAACCTTGCCCAACTGAAGCTTCCACCTGAGAAGGGACCTACAATTCCTTATATGTCAGTTTCCTCTTCACCTGCTGGTAGACCCCAAAGTCAGAGCCACATATTTCTGGATTTTGTTATGAGAGCAACTGTTGCTGCATAGCAACCAAAAAAAAAAAAAAAAAAACACATGGTATCCAACTGTAAGCGTTTGTTGTTCAAGTGGCTGGCATTGTCTGGGGAGCAGCATCGTGGCTAGGCTCAGCAATGCATTTGTGCTTCAGGCTGAGAATCTGGTTGGCTTGACTCCTTCAATGCAGGGACAGTCTTGTCTGCTCTACATGTATTCATTCTGGGACCAGGGTCAAAGGGACAGCAGTTACCCAGGAGTTCTTACAATGGTGATGGCAGAGGTATGATGGGCAAGGTCAAGTCCACAAGCACATTTCAAGCCCCCGCTTGTGTTGTCTCTGTTAACAACTCATTTGCCAAAGTAAGTCATGCAGCCAAGTCAGAGTTCAGTCTAGGAGTGAGGAAGTATACTTTACCTCCTTGGGAAGGATCTAAAATGTTATATGATAAAGACATGGATATAGGGAAGGGTGAATAATTGGGACCAATAAAAGTGCTCAGCCTAATGGAGGAAAAACAGATTCTATCCTTAGAGAGCCAACCCCGTGTGTGAGGGTGGATAGAAGAAGTACGAAAAGTATGTAAAATCAATAAAAACTTCCATGTGCAAGCACTGAACTTTTGGTTGTACCAACTTTGTAAAGCACAGTAATTTGTACTTTATAGCCCCAGAGGTCTATGTGAGAGGTCAAAGTAACTAAGGACTCAGGTTCTGAAATCAAACCTGGCCTAAATCTGAGCTCTACTCCTTCTTATCTGAATGACCCTGAGCAAGTTACCTTCCCTAAGTTTTCTCTAAGACTTTCTCTAAATCTCAGTTTCCTCATCTGTAAAGTTGGGATGAGAGGGGTATTATAAAAACGTGTGCCTGCCATGTAGTGAGTATTTAGTAAATATTAATTATTCATATCACTATTTTATGTATTTTGTTATTATCTAATATGGTTACCAGGAGGAAGGCATAATAAAATAAATTTGATTGCTTCCAACATAGGACATACTATATAAAATACTTAAGAAATCTATTCATGGAACCAGCTACTCCTGTAACAACAGAAGCAGTAGGGAGAGAAACAACATGAATTGAACACCCACCATGGCCCACTGGTGCCACTGCCTAATGTATATCCTCATTTAACATGGTTAGACGTCATGTGAGAACACTGTTAAGCTTTTCTTATGATCAGATCCAGAACAACATGGAAGTCTGGGCCTAGAGACAACATGTAGACATAATTCCTATGTGTCTTTTCCTTTCTTTTCTTTTCTTTTTTTTTATTTCAATAGCTTTGGGGGTTACAAATAGGTTTTAGTTAAATGGCTACCTTGAATAGTGGCAAAGAATCTGGGCTTTAAGTATACCCACCACCTCCACCTGTGCACATTGTACCCAATAGATGATTTTTCATCCTCTCCCCTCTTCCCACTTTCCCTTTTCTGATTCTCCAATGTCTGTGGTAACATTCTCTATGCCTCTGCATATCCTTAGTTTAGCTCCCACTTGTAAGTGAGAGCATGCAGTGTTTGGTTTTCTGTTTCAGTTCCATCCAAGTTGCTGCAAAAGGCATTATTTCATTCTTTTTTATGTGCTTACTAATAGAAGTTTTAGAACAAGACTGCTGTTAAAGTGCTGTATGTTCTCTGTATGTACCTCTCAAGCAGAGCCAAGAACATGGCTTATGATGCATGTTATCCAGACAGTGACCCTGGCCCTTACTCCATTGCTCATTTCCTGTCCCTCCTCTAACAAGCTCTCAAAAATGACTGAGAGTCCTGTCAAAGTCCATTCACACTCATTAGAATCTGGGGACCCACTGAGTTCATTGCTGCTATTTTAGAGACTGACATTTCCCAAGGTCTCGTACAACCAAGGACTAATTTTGGTGTGAAGAGAATCAGGGTGACTTGTAAGTCACTAGTGGCATATTCCTCTCCCTTTAATTGATGGTACCCTCATTAACAGGCTCTCCCCCTCATCTCCTCAATTTTGCTCCCTTCCAGGAAATTCTTTCTGTACCCAGCGTTTGCTTCCTTTCTTCTAATGCTAGATAAGTCCCATAAGGAGGCTTGAAGTCATAGTCACTGGCTCCTGGGCCATGGGTCTGAGCGGTTGGTTGGGTTTGCTCAGAGCCTCCTGTGACCACCATGTGTCCCCTCTGCCCACAGCCATTCTGAGTGAGCTCTTACAGAGGGAGAATCGCGTGCTGCATTTCTGGACCTTGAAGAAGCGGCGGTTAGACCAGTGCCAGCAATACGTGGTGTTCGAGCGCAGTGCTAAGCAGGTGTGTCCAGAGCTTTCTTGGCTCTGCCTCAGTTTTGCAGAGTACTCAGAAGTCATCCCAGATGACCAATACTTGGGACAGTCCAGAAGAGACACAGTGGATATGGGAGATGGGGACAAAGAGAGGAAAGAGAACAGGTTGTCACTTCTCTGTAATCCAGGATTTACCAAGCCCTCTGTTCTGAGCTTGGTACCAGGAGATGTGAGGAGTTGCTAGGACACTCACTATACCCCTAATATGTGGATGATATTGGGCCTATGTAGAAGAGTCCCCAGTCTGCTGGAGGAAATCCTTTCATTGCTGGTGGGATGTTCCGTATCAGAGGAGGGTCCATTCATAAAAATAACCCCAGAGCAACATACAGCATTTCCCGGGTCCATCAAGTCCCAACCATACACCTTCATTGTAGCATGGTGTAGTTTCCTACTAACAGCTACCTTTTGGGGGACTGGGTGCATGGTTTCCTTCCGCAGGCGCTGGACTGGATCCAAGAAACAGGTGAATATTACCTCTCAACACATACCTCCACTGGAGAGACCACAGAGGAGACTCAGGAACTGCTGAAAGAATATGGGGAATTCAGGGTACCTGCCAAGGTAGGAAGCTTCCCAAACCCTTCCCCAAATCTACCCAGCACTCCCCATTCTGGCCCGTTTCACATTACAGAAGCAAGGGCAGCCTCTGTAAGTAGAAAAGCTTGGCCACAGTAGCACAGGGGAAAGCATGCAAGTATCCTAACAGATTGTCTCCTAGAAATCTGAATACCTAAGGAATTACAGCTGCTGGACAGAGCAGCTGTATGTGGAAGGCAACTGTTGTACACTGAGCATTCAAATACCATCATGGACTGGGCACGGTGGCTCAAGCCTATAATCCCAGCTCTTTGGGTGGCCGAGGTGAGAGGATTGCCTGAGCCCACAGGTTCGAGAATAGCCTGGGCAACTTGGCGAGACTTCATATAGATGTATACAATTAATCAAAAAATTAGCCAGGCATGGTAATGTAGTTCTGGCTACTTGGAAGGCTGAGGTGGAAGGATCTCCGGAGCCCAGCAAGTCTACGCTGGGGTGGCTGTGAGCGTGTCACTGCATTCCAGCCTGGGCAATGGAGTGAGACTCCAACTTGGGGGGAAAAAAAATAGCATCGTGCTTCAGGTTCTGGGTCTGCTGTATTCTTTCAGACCAAATCAGGAAAAATGGTATATTCATGTAACGGTGTGCATGCATATGTGAACACTTGTACATGTCCACAGATTCTTGATATTTGAATGGCTTGGGAAGTCCACCTTAGGAGAGGGACCCATGACTATATGTGGGTTCACAAAGCAGGTGAGGCTCTTATTTCCTGAGCTGTTTGTATCTCGCCTCAAACCTGCTAATGAGCTAGAGTGGGTGTCTGGGGGGCAAAATGTGCATGCGTACACATACCATTCACCCCCATTCACATGGAGGGGGTGGGGAATGCTGTAATAGGAAGAAATCTGATTTTCACAGCCAGCATTTGACCTGAGGACCCTCGGGTTTGAGAGTAAATTTGATCTGTCTCAGCTCCCTCTTTGTGGCAACCTCATCCTTCACACTGGGCCCCTTGTCACATAGGAGCCCTTCCTGGCATCCCTTCCACACACAGCAGATGCTGTTTCCAGGTTGAGAGCCACTTTTGTGGGGGTCAAGGGGGGAACATATTAATGTCCATCCCACCCAGAGATCCCTCTGACATTATAGTAAATGTTCCTCTGGTTTAGTGTGACAAAATTAGGCCTTAGCCTCATTCCTGAGTTGATATTTCGGAAGGGGTTATCCACTTTATGAATCCTCTACTATGGATCTCAATATTGGGGAGCCTTCCCTTGCATTCTTGTGAGCTTTGGACCTATGCCTAGTGTGAAAAGCTGTGAGCTCAGATAAGAGACTCATTTCAATACCAGCAAGAGCAAACAGCACAAAGAAGGTGACAGATGCACAGAACCCTTTTCAAATCCAAATAGAAATTCCTTGTGAATTAACAAGTTTGGGTCTATCTTCCCCTCTCCAAATAATGTCAGTAATGAACCATTAACAGGCTGAATAATATCAGATCCACGGGTGTTTTTATCTAGATAGGATGGACCACAGCAGATACCCAAAACTTCTCAGGATCAGAATCTTTCCATAACCCAAGTAGAAATGTGAAGAATTATTCAGTCGATTTAATTCATCCTTCCTTTACAACCTTCTTAATTTCTTTTTCATCCTTTCCATTTCCATTTCATCCTTTGCCATACCACCTTGAGTTGTAATAGCTTCCTATTTGAATTCCATGCTTTGGTCTTTCCTTCCTTTCAACCCATCTGCAGGAGAGGGGGGCACACCTCATCAACAAGGGTACCTACATAAAGAACATTTGTATACCTAATCCTGAATTGTACCCCACATCTTTAAAATAAAAATTTTTTAAAAGAAAAAAATTAAAAATAAAAGCTAATATTCAAGCTAAAAAAAAAAGTTACACTACTGCCTTTGAAAATGGAGGAAAGGGTCAAAAGAAAGGAATGCAGGTGGCCCCTAGAAGCTGAAAGAGACAAAAAAATGGATTTTCCTCTAGAATTTCCAAAAGGAAAGCAACTCTGCTGACACTTTGATTTTAGCCCCATGAAACCCATTTTAGACTTATGACCTCCAGAACTGTAAGATAATAAATTTGTATTTTTAAGCTAAAAAAAAAATAAAACACTGCTTTGGCTATATTACCACCCAACTCAAGAACTTTAATGATTCTCCAATGCCTTCAGGCTAACACTCCATGTCTTCTATAGCTGTGCCACCCTACCTCCCCAGTTTTATCTTCAAGCATTCTTTTATGCAAGTCGTATGCTCCAGCTGAATGGATATATTTTCCTATCCTCTGAGAGATACATTATATATATATAAATTTTTTTTTTTTTTTTGCCTTTGTGCCTATTGTGTCCTTCTGTTACCTCTAGCTTGTGCTTTCTGAAAGAAGCCCACCTTTTCATTCCAGCGCCTCCTCTGCTATGATCCTGCCTGCACACAGGATGTGATCTACCCCAACCCCACACTATAGCCCTTGTCTGTATAACCCTCAAGGCCCCTGGCACGGACTGTATCTTCCCCTATAATCTGTGTACAGTGTTATTTCCTATATGAGCCAGCAAGATCTTGAAGGACAAGAACCACACTATTCATCCTGTTGCCCAGGTTACTTGACTCTCTTACACATTGAAGGGAGGTTACAACCACTTATGAACATAAGGAAAATGGGAAATTTGGGTAGATTTCAACAACTCCCACCCCATATTTATATTTGATATGATTCTTCTACTTTGGCTTTCCATATTCTCTCTCCGCCTTCCCAACATAACTATTTCTGTTAATGGGGTATCATTTTCCCATTTGTCATGTTCCAAATCTCAGAGTTATTTGTATCCAAATATCTACAGAATAACAAATTTGGCTGGGCTTGGTGGCTCAGCCTGTAATCCCAGCACTTTGGGAGGTGGGTGGATTGCCTGAGCCCAAGGGTTTGAGACCAGCCCAGGCAACTTAGCGAGACCTTGTCTCTACAATAAATAAAAAATTAGACCAGGCTCGGTGGCTCAGCCTATAATCCCAGCACTTTGGGAGGCTGAGGTGAGTGGATTGCCTGAGCCCGCAGGTTCGCGACTCACCTGGGCAAGTTGGCGAGACCTCATCTCTACAATAAATCAAAAATGAGCCGGACATGATAGCGCATGCCTGTAATTCCGGCTACTTGGAAGGCTGAGGCAGAAGGGTCGCCGGAGCCCAGCAGGTCGAGGCTGCGGTGGCCGGGAGCGGCCACTGCACTCCAGTCTGGGCCACAGAGTGAGACTCTAACTCCAAAAAAAAAATTAGCCAGGCATGGTAGCATGAGCCTGTAGTTCCGGCTACTTGGAAGGCTGAGGCAGAAGGATCACTGGAGCCCAGCAGGTTGATGCTGGGGTGGCCATGAGTGTGCCACTGCACTCCAACCTGAGTGACGGAGTGAGACTCCAACTCAAAAAAAAATAAAGAATAACAAATTCAGCCCCATCCCAGGCCCACTTCCCAGACCTCTTTTACCTAGCCATCTTTGATTTTAATCTTTATAACCAATAAAGTGAATTAGAAATGGTAACCAAATTGACCTAGAACTACAAGAGAGTAAATATGGCAGCCCTTTTGATTGAACAGGGCAATAGAGTACATTTAATTATTATACTCCCCAAAGAAACAGATCAAGTGGGGGATACACTGAATATAAAAAGATTCTTTCTATGTAAAACCCTACAGATGTAAGCATAAAAATGAGATTTTAAAGAGTTTGGGTAGGGACAAAAGGGAAACAAAATTTTTGTTTTGTGATGTGCCTACAGACAATCCAATTAGAAGACAACAAATGATATTTTCCTATTGTGGGTTTCAAAATTTATAAGGGTCAAGGCACACAGTGATAAGAAAACTTAATCATCTTGACATCTGGAAGAGTTCCATTTGTTCTAAAGGCAAAACTTTGTTAAAGATATTTTTGTTTTTCTTTTTTACAGTTCAGTGGATCTTACTATATTCACAAGGTGGTACAACCATTACTACTATTTAGTTCCAGAACATTATCATCCACCCTAGAAAGAAACCCCACACCCATTTGCAGTCATTACCCATTCCCCATCTCCCCCACCCCCCCACCCCCCATG